AGTGGTGTCTTATAGAAAGACAGATACACAAAGAGGGAAGACAGACACTTCTATAAGCAGCAAAAGAACACAAGGAATGCTGTCAGTCATTAGAAACTAGGAGAGAGGCATGGAGTAGTTCCTCCCCCAAAGCCCCCAGAAGGAATTGACATGGCTGACACTCTGATAAGGATTTCTAGCTTCCAGAACTGTGAGATAATACGTTTCTATTCTCTGAAGCCACTCACTTTGTAGTATTTTGTTATTAGAGTCCCAGGAGTCCAAGATAGCCCCCAAAACCATTCCTTAAAAATTGGAGGAGTTTTCTGGCCCCTGGCCATGGCCTTGGCCCTGTAGGAATAAATAAGTGTGCTCACTGCTCATTAGTCATCACAGAAGCAAATCCTGCCACTGCCACAGGAGCCACTTTTCCTGGGAGCCAGCACTGTGGTCATTGTCCCTGACCAGGTTTCCTGGGGGCTGCCCAACTGGCCATGTACTTGGGGCTGCTTGGCTTGGCATGTGCTGGGGCTGCCAGGGCAATCATGCGGAGTGAAGATGTGACCTCAGAAGGAGAGAGCAACCCTGCCTCAGAGCCACCAGGACAGGCCACACTACTGGGTGTAGGACAGCAGGAAGAGTCACTGGCCCTGGGGATGGCCACCTTAGACAGCCAGAATTGTCTAGGCAGTGGCAGCCCCACAAGGACAGAGGTGAGTGCTCCTCACCTCCCATGGCTTCTCCTATTCTTTCCCTGGTGACTCCAGAGGTGACATGGAGGAGACAAGGAAGAAGTCTGCTCTCTGAAGACCTGCAGGTGGTCCCAAAGGGCAGCCTGATGGACAGCTGACCTTCAGTCCCAGAAGATGAAGACACAGGCAAGGGCTTTCCCTTTGGTCACATGGTTGGTCACAGAAAGCAGGACATAAGGCATCCAGTACCTAGGACTAGTGGGCCAGGAAGGTCCGGAAACCTCATTGTCCACACTCTGAGTCTGACCAAGCATGATTAATGCCCTGGGCTCCATGAGTCTCCACCCACAGTCTGTGTGCAGGAAGCTGATGAATACTTGCTCCGTGCCCACCCAGAGCCAGCAACTCTCTGTCTTCTCCTGGAAAGAGCCTTAATACCACCTAGGTTGTCCTCTAATTATAAATGCCATGACCTCTCCAACTGTGCATGGAATATGACAGTAACTGCAACAACAATAATAGCAATAGCAATAATAGCAATGTTCTTCCCCTTGGACTTGTGGTGAGGACTAAATGGGATATCACACAGGTGTGTGATGTGCTGTTTGGGCCGCAATGAGCACACCAATTATGGGGCCTGTTCTTCTTAAATTATGGCAACCACATTCCCCTACCCAGAACATCCTTGTCTGATGTACTTGAAATGTCTGTTCCCACACAGCTCCTCAGGCAGCATGTGCACAACCCACATCCCAAAGATGCCCATGACTAAGTGAGCAAAGCCCAGACAAGAAACTAACACCCATCCCCTGGCTTCAGTGTGCATCAAGGAGCAGGACAAAGCACCGGGTCCTCGAGCTGGAGGGAACCTCTCTCTCTCTCTCTGTCTCTATCTCTGTCTCTCTGGGTATCACTTTCTGTCTGTCTCTCTGTCTCTCTCTTTCTTTCCTCCCCTTTTTACTGACTATCCCTGTGAGGCTTCACAGGGAATGTTGTTACAGCCATCACCAGCAGTGTGTCCACCTCTTCTGGCAGCATCCTGGCACAGTGGCCCCACTCTCTTCACCGTGGCTCCCTTTGTTATGTTTCCAGGCTGCCTGCACCATGTGCCCGCTTCACTTATAGCATTCTGGATGTCTTAACTCACTTTATCAACTTCACAGCTCCTGTACAAGGGAGAATTTAGCAGACATTGGATGCAAACTTTAGCATAAAATAGTGATAATTCAGATGGTACAGACTGCTTGAGACTTGGATAAGTGATTTTTCAGACTTACAAAACTGGTCATCCCATTTTGTGAAACCATTTCAAGACTCAGAGAAACATAGGAAGTTTCCTTTAATGAACCGTGCCCCTAGTACTAAAATCTGACAAAGCACCCCCAAAAGACAAACATGGACTAATTTACATATGAATAAAGAACCAAAAGTCATAAGTGAAATTTTAAAAGTCATGTTCTGTCCAGTTCATTGAATAAAAATTAAACCAGGAATTAGGAGCTATTTATAGTTCATTCCAGCATTTAGGGAAATCATAAACTCATGAATAGCTCAATAAAAACAGGAAGATGCACTCGAACAAACTGAACTCCCAGCAGGAGCACCAGTGCCATGAGGAAGAACATTAACATCGAACAGGCCCTCCAGACAGGAGAAGGAGGCTTCAAAGAGACAGACCCAAAAAGCCACCCAAAGTCAGACAAAGCTTCACTCCAAAACCCAAATCATGAAACTAGGTAACACAGAGGTTCTTTACCTTTAAAAATCATCAAAATTTAAAAGCAAATAATAAACTCAAAAAAAAAAAAAAAACCCAAAAACTCAGGGAATATGTAAAGTTTTTATACCACTGGTATGTTAATAAGAAAAATAGAAAAACTCTTAAAAGAAATGGACAAAAGATATAACAGACAATTAGCAAAAGAAACACAAATGGCTAAGAAATATTAGGAAAAGACAGAAAACATTTTATGAACAGACATTTTTCAAAGGAGTATTTATGATTATAAAAAGTTGGAAGCAAGCTATTGCCTAAAGAAGTTATGATGCATCCATTCGCGGGAATGTCCTGCAAGCAATCCCAGGTTACGAAGCATGTGAGGCAAGGAGCAGAGCTCCCAGGAGAACCCTGTTTGGGAAAAGGGTTCAAAAGGACCACATACTATGTGAAGACAGTAGTGTAAATAGAGCAGACCAAACTGGGAAAAGTAATTTCAAGAACTAATTGATTTTTACTTTCCCTTTTTGGTTTAATCTTTAAAATATTTTACAGTATGCCTGTGCCTCTGCTACAACAGATTAGAAAGTTTTCCCAGAGAAACCACAGGTGTGCCCTGGGCCTCAATTCTCTCCCTAGGCCTCACAGACACCTCTCTACTGAGGGAGCCCCTAGTTCTAGCTCATCTTCAGTCTGGATGCAGAGCGTTGCTCCATAGCTGCCCTCCAAAGGGGATCCTCGAAGTAGCCTCCCCACCTCCACACTCTCCTGACCAGAGCCACCAGGGACCACCCCCATCTCCATACCTGGTCCATGTGTACAGCATTCACTGAGAGCAACGCGGAAGCCCCAGTTCCTTACCAGCCTCCAGTGGTCTCTCTCTTGGTATGTGTCCCCTGCATGCACAGAAGTCATCTGCTGCACCCTAGGAGACTGGGCACAATTGGGGTCCATTCCATGCATCTCACCTCTCCCTCACCAACAAGAGCTGCTTCCCAAATCCTCCCCCATCCCAGGCCATCCTTGGCCCAGGAAAGCCACGAGGTCTAGCCCCAGCTCTGTGTCCAGCATAAAGAGGGTCCCACAGGGACCACTGATCCATCCCCAGGCCCTGGGCACCAAGAGGTGAGGAACATTCCAGGTTTTATCCCAAAGCTACAGATTTCAGCAGACCCAGCCTCAGGAAGGATGCAGTCCACTCAGCCAAGAGGGACACAGAGCACCAGATGGAAACAGCTCAAGACCCCAAAGCCCTCCAAGGGCAAGAGGGACCAAAGGCTGCACAGGCTTTTGCAGGAAGACCACCACACACACTCAGGATCCCACACTGGTTTGTCCATCATGGGGCTCATTCTCGGCCGGGCACTCACCCGGGCCACATGCAACAGCCTTGCAGAACAGCTGTCTCTTGGCTCCCAGAGGGCTAGTAAGAGTCATCCCACCTCACCTGAGCTCCATATTAAAACCTCTAGAACTCTCAGAATCCATGCTGAAGTAGGTGGACTGGACTGTCCCAGGCAGAAGGATTGTGTTGAGGCATGTATAACTGACAGTATTGCAGTCGGGATTACTGCAAATACCACAGTGACAAAGTACCTGCCCAAAAGCCCAGCCCAAAGCTCATGGTGCAGTACCCTGGGGTGCAGCCTGGTAGAGCCTATCAACTCCCACAAGACACAAGGCATTTGACCTGCTACCCACTGGTGGATGCCAGAGTTTGGAGAAAATGGGATAAGGTGTCCTATAGATGACAGTAGAAAAAGAGGCCCAGTTCCAGTTGAAGGCCTGCTGACCAACTGTCTTAGTTATCTAGTGCTACAGTAACAGAAATACCACAAGTGGATGGTGTTAACAAACAGAAGTTTATTCTCTCACACTCTAGTAGGCTAGAAGTCTGAATTCGGGGTGCCAGTTCCAGAAGAAGACTCACTCTCTGTTGGCTTTGGAGGAAAGTCCTTGTTATCAATTTTCTTTTGGTCTAGGAGATTCTCAACACAGGGATTCCGGGTCCAAATAACTTGCTCTGCTCCTGGCACTACTTTCTTGGTAGCATGAAGTCTCCCTGTCTCTCTGCTACCTTCTCTCTTTTATATCTCAAAAGAGATTGACTCAAGATACAATCTAATCTTGTAGATTGAGTCCTGCCTCATTATCATAACTGCCTCTAATCCTGCCTCATTAACATCATAGAGGTAGGATTTACAACACTAGAAAAATCATATCAAATGATGAAATTGTGGACAGTCACACTATACTGGGAACCAAGGCCTATGGAAGTTGACCCACATTTTTGGGGGACACAATTCAATCCATAACACTACCTCTGCATGAGGGAGGTGGAACCAAGCACGTATTTACCAGGGTACTTTGATCCTTCCAAATATGTGCACAGAGAACACCAAGAGACTCACAGGGCAGACTGTTCCTGTAATCACAGGGGGGAGCCCAGACAGGTAGGCATGCGGGGAGAGGGAGAGGTGACATACCCAGTCCATTTACACTCTTCCTTGTATTTTAAAAGTTTCAGCAGGTGTAGAGACTGCATTTATAACGGGATTTATAGAGAATGAAAGTTTTTTTTTTTTTGGCTGTTGTTGTTTGTTTATACTTACCCCTTGGCAGTGCTGGAACTGCTCCAGGTCCTGAGCTGTGAGTTCTGTTCCTCCCACTTGCCCTCCTGTGGAACTCAAGGTCTTCAGACACCATCCACCCCTGACTTCGTGAGGGAGAAGCCAGCAAAAGAGCAAAGAGTCCCCTGAGGAGAAACAGCAAGGCAAAAATCAGAGGTGGAGGCAGGCATCCCCGGCATCCCCTCAGGGCATCAATGTGGAGGCCAGCCTGGGAGGACTTGGGGGGCAGAGCCTGGGGCTGCTGCTGACCAGCAGGCACAGCTGGAAGAGACTCTACGACCCAGATCTCTGGCCCTCAGGCACACCCTGTGCTGTCACAGAATGAGCGAACTTTCAATTCACAGTCCTAGGTGTCCCCCTCCCCCAGGCTGAAGAATCCCTGACCTCCCATCTTGGCCTCTGCTCCCTCATCTAACATTCTTGGGGCAGGTACTGCTGGTCCCTAGGATATAAAAGGCCCCCAAGTAAATCCTGCATAGTGGGGATGGGCACTCACCCTCCCAAGGCACTGTTGCAGTGGTGGGGCAGGCTGATTTCCAAGATGGACAGACACCTACCAGCTCAGGGGGAGTTCCAGGATAGGCTGGCATAGCCTTACCAACCTCAGAGGCTCCCAGGTGCTTCATCAAACAACCACTAGGGGGCAGATCTTAAATCCTGGCTCAGGTCTCTACCTCTGGGGCTGCCTTCTTGCCATCCTGCCAGAGGAGAATTGGGGGCAGGCGTGTATCACTGTGTTATGATGGTTATGGTTATTATGGACACAGCCTCACAATGCCTTGCAAAAACCCATGGCTATATCTCATCCCTTCCCATCAGGCACTGAGGGCTTGCCCAGGATTTTGAAAAGTCTTATGGATTGAATTGTGTCCCTCAAAAATAGGTGTTGTAAATCCTAATCCCTATACCTGTGGCTATAATTCCATTTGGACATGGGTTTTCTTTGTTATGTTAATAAGGAGTATTAGTGTAGAGTGTGTCTTGAGTCAATCTCTTTTGAGATATAAAAGAGCAGATTAAGCAAGCCAACAAGTACATGATATAAGCCACATGATTATCTGAAGAATTTAAGAATAGAAACTTAAAAGAGATAAGGGCCTTTCCCCAGAGCAGAAAGAGAGAAAGAAAGCCTTCCTCTAGAGCTAGTGCTCTGAATTCAGACTTCTAGCCTCCTAAACAGTGAGAAAATAAATTATTGTTTGTTAAAACCACCCACTTGTGGTATTTCTGTTATAGCAGCAGTAGATAACTAAGACAAACAGGGACACACCACCATGGATTCAGGGGGTACCACAGCCATGAGACCCATGACCCAAACCAGCAGGTACAGTTCCATGGTGGCGACATGGCTCTCCAGACCCCCAAGCCCATGGTGGTTCACCACAGAGATGATGCCAGGAAGTCCATATGGGTCATGAAACAGGCAAGCCAAAGCCTACCTTCAACTCAGCTTAATCTCACTCATAGTGGGTACACTCTTCCTGACCACCCCCTGGCTATTATCTGCTGGTGTCCAGTGGACAGCACACAAAAGTCCTCCCTCAGGGTTGGTCAACATATCGGGGCTACAGCTGGGCATCTCAGACATACCACTCTGCGATGCCCCCATTTTGGAAGGAGACAATAGGAAGGTTGTGCTGTCCTTGGTGCCATGACATTGTCCCAGCCCTGAAGTCACAGTGCCTCTTGGTCATACTTCCCTGCTGTCTGTGCCACCCTGTCCTCCATGACACCCTATGCCCCAAACCACCCTGTACCCCATGCCCAGCTGGGCAGCATGCTAGAGTGAGCCTTGATTCTTATAGTCTATGTGGAGGACGTGTGTGGCAGAGTGGTTTGTCTTTAGAATCCTTTCTATCAGTGGAAAGGCTGGGTGGGTGGCTCTAGGAAAGGCCCCAGGTAGGCACCATTGAGGATTGGGGTATCCGGTGGGTGCACGGGCTCTAACCGGTCCCTGCCGCTGGCCCTGGCAGACATGGCAGTGCCTCCAAAACCCTAACTAGGGGAGTGCCCAGGAGAGATAACAGTGCTGACAGGACATTAGACAACAAGGTCCAAGCAGCAAGGGCCTAGTGTGGCCCCTTTCGGGGGCTGTTTCCAGTGGACAAGTCATGCAAGGCGCCTAGACCAGTCTAGCCTACTATGAACCGCACCCTCACTCATCCTCCATTAAGAGCCAACCAAGGTCCATGCTTGCACTTCAGAAACAAAGAATCTTCCAGAAATGGCCGTCTCCCCTCCTGAGTCTCTCTCTGGCCACTGGTCAGCTCGTACATCCTCTATGAGAGTGGCCCACAGAAGACAGACCACGTTAAGCAGCCCTCCTGCACAGGCCCCACCCCAGGGAAGGAAGTGCGAGCACTCCCCCTATGCACCTGCACCACATGACCACAGCCGCCAGGGGATGGGATCCTCCCTACCTTGCAAAGTACAGGGTCAACTCAAACCCCTTCCCAGGGACAAAGAGTGCAGTGACATAGAGAGAAGACCACTGAGCAGAGTTCTGGGGTCTGTGACACTGGTTACCTGGGCCAGGTGAGCCCTCCAAGAAGACTGGAGAAAGGCGTCCAGGATTTTGAAAAGTCTTATGGATTGAATTGTGTCCCTCAAAAATAGGTGTAGTAAATCCTAATCCCTATTATACCTGTGGCTATAATTCCATCTGGACATGGGTTTTCTTTGTTATGTTAATGAAGAGTATTAGTGTAGAAAGGCAGGGGCCCACGAATGCAGGGATTTTTGTCAATGACTCTCCTATTGTGTAATGATAACTACCAGAGTGAGATACCCAGCAACAAAAACCCATCCCTCAGCTACCAGACCACCATGGCCAGGGTCAGCACCAGACCCAGGGGCAGCATCCATCTGCCCATTAGCTGGGGACATTCCATCTGCCCCACGCAGGTACCCCAGCCTGCACTCAGACCCCTGCCATCCTGGATCTCTGCATGTGTCTGGCCACAAGAATTCACCCAAGACAGAAGATAGCACTGGCACTTCACCTGTGATCAAGCACTCCATGGACAGACACCTCCACCCAGATACCACCGAGGCCACAGAGCCAGACACAGACACAGGGAGGCCACAGCCTTCTAGTGACCCTACCCAACACCCCTGAGGAAGCACCGTTCCCACTATCTGATCACCCCCATGATGGAATCTGCTGAGAGGTACTACTGGGGGCGGAGCCTGTGGCAGCTTACCCTGCACCCCCTCAGCTTCATCTCTGTGTCTTCCACTGGTTACTTTCTGCCTGCCTACCCTGCCAAAGTTTTTGGCTTCTTCCAGACTCAGCAGCTGCCTCTTGTCATCTCACCTCCGGTTCTTGGGACTTGAGCTAGCAGCTTACCTGTTGATCTTGGAATTCATCCATCTTCACAGCCTGCAAGCAAGAGTCCTGTTCCCTGACCTGCTGATCGTGGGTTTGCTAGCCCCTGCAGCTATGTGAATCAGGAGAAATCTTGAGGTGCTGTCTTCTGATCTTGGAATTCATTGACCTTCCAGCCTGTGAGAGGGAGCTCTGTCCTGAATTTGGGCTCGCTAGCTTCTGCAGCTGCGTGAATTGGGAGAAGCCTCTACCCTGATCCATGGACTTTGGATGTTTTAGCCTCTACAATAGCATCAGCAGATTCCTTAATATAAATCTCTCTTTATATATTTATATACTTTACTGGTTTTGCTTCTCTAGAGAACCCAGCCTAAGACAGTGACCATGGGGTGAGAAGATGTTGCCTCAGAAGGAGAGTGCAGGCCACACCATTTGGCATATGATAGTAGAACAGTTACTGGTTATTGGGATAGCCACCAACGGCAGCCACAATTGTCCAGAGAGTGGCAGCCCCATAAGACCAGAGGTGACTTCTCCTCAGCTCTAGTGGCCTGTTCTACTCTTCCACTGGTAGTTTCAGAGGTGACAATTGAGGAGACAAGGAAGAAGTCTGCTCTCTGAAGAACCCCTTGTGGTCTCAAAGGGAACCCTGATAGACAGCTGGCCTTTAGCCCTAGAGAAGGCATCCACAGGCAAGGGCTTTTCCTCTGGTCATATGGTTGGTCACAGAAAGCAGGACATAAGGTGTCCAGCACCTAGGAAGCGTGAGTCAGCCCGGCAGGCTCAGAAACCCCATTGTTCACACTCTGAGTCTAACCAAGCATGATTAATGTCCTGGGCTCCATGACCCTCCACTCACTGTCTGTGTGTAGGAAACTTATGAAAGCCTACTCCTTGCCCACTCTGAGCCAGCACCCCTCTCTCTTCTCCTGGAGAGAGCCCTAAGACCACCTAGGCTTTCCCTCTAAGTATAAATCTCATGTCTTCTCCAACTTTGCAGTGGAATATGACAATAATTGCAACAATAGTAGCAATAGCATATGATAGTAATACTTTCTCCTTTGGACTTGTGGTGAGGATTAAATGAGATATCACACACAGGTGCCTGATGAGCTGTTTGGCCAGCAATGAGCACACCATTTAGGGGACCTGTTCTCCCTAAATTATGGCCACCACATTCCCCCAATCAGAATATCCTTGTCTGATGTGCCTGAAATGTCTGCTCACACACAGCTCCTCATGCAGCATGTGCACAACCCACATCCCAGAGATGCCCATGAATAAGTGAGCAAAGCCCAGACTAGAAACTCACACCAGACCCTGCATCTCAGTGTGCACCAAGGAGCAGGACAAAGCAGGACCTCGCTCTCTATCTCTTTCTCTATGTCTCTGTCTTTTTGTATCTTCACTCAATCTGTTTCTCTCTATCTTTCTCACTCTTTGTCTTTTTATCTGTGTCTGTCTCTGTCTATCTCTGTCTCTCTGTGTGTCTCTTTCTGTCTCTACCTGTCTCTCTCTGTCTCATCTCTCTTTCTGTCTCACCTCTCTCTATGTCTGTCTGTCTCTGTCTCGCCTTCCTTTTTCACTGCCCATCCCTGTGAAGCTTCCTCAGGGAAGGAATCCACAATCATTATCAACAGTGCATCCACCTTTCCTGGCAGCATCCTGGCACAGTGACCCTGCTGCCTTCACCATGGCTCTTTGTTATGTATCCAGGATGCCTGAGCCATGTGCCAGTTCCAATTTGAGGAGTCTGGATACATATTTCACTTTGTCAGCTTCACAGCTCTTGTGTAG